CAAATATAATACAGCAAAACTTCCAGTAGCAAACTTCTATTTAATGAAATTTTCGATTTAACGAATTGCTTTTGAGAACCATAATCATCGTTCTTAATCATTAATTATTTATATAGAATTGATAATCAATATGTAATTCTATTTAACGATTTCCTCTATATTACGAATTTTTTTTTTGTTTCCCATGAGACTTTGATATATAGAGGTTATTAATTTTCCATTTGGAAACATTCTCAAAATATCATGCATAGTTCTATAACTGAATACTGTATGATTATACTATATTGAATTTACCAAGATATATTTTATAGTTATGATGAATTATTTTATAATGACACATAGTAAAGTAATTCTGTAGCGCACTTTTTTTATGTTCCATTATCATCTTAAAATTAACTTAAAAACCAATTTTAATAATTGTATACACATTAAGGTAATTGCATTTATATTTACTTCAAATCATATTGACATAGTTAAATTTGAATTTAGTTGAGAGAGATTTATTCATATAGTAAATGTTGTATATAAAACTAAAGACCCCTACTTTTATTTAAAAATGCATGTTACGAAAAAGATTCGAAATACATATATAATCAATACTTGTTCATATATTTGTGATAAAAACTCTATTAATAATATTAATAACCATGCCTAGTGAAGAAGTGTTTTAATCTCAGTCGGCATTTGGTGATTATGGTAACCAAAACTTTTAATGTATCCACTTATTTAATTTTGTTTTATTTTTTTAAATTGATATTTAAAATATTTATTAAAAAAATGGAATTGAATGTTTTAAATATACTTAAAATCGATTTTAATCGGGCTTGATAAAACATGTGGTCATTAGCAGCACCTGCATTTGCTACTTGGTTTAGAGTGCTATAATCCTATTAATCACACCTATAGTTTCTTAAACAGCCTTTAATTAAATCTCATGTCGTTCGGTTTTCTAGGCTTTGATTAGGACACAATTTATTTCCTGTTCATTCCTTCAACCTTTCTTTAAGTGATTCTCCTATTTATACACGCCAGAAAATCAATTGTGAAGTCACTCACATATCCACCACTCACCAATTTACTTTCAAAAATTTTTGAATTTTTACCTAGTTACAAAATCACAAATTATTTTAAATTCCTCCTCTAGACCCATTATTATTAGTATACTAAAGTTTTTCGAAAATGTTGGATTCTTAATTTGATTTTTATGTAGTTACCTTTTTTGTATTTTATTTGCTAAAGTACTCATAACTTTTGTTCTTGGTTTATTATTTAATTTATTTTATTTTTCTCTTGGTACTTTCTTTTAATTTATATACAGTTTAAATAATTGTAATTTTTGAGCTGTAATAATATATATAATAAAGATATGTATTAACACACAGCCTAGATTTAGAGATTTGAGATTTTGCACGTAGGTTCATTATCCAATATATACAAGCACTAAGAAAGGGTTGTTCAAAATTTAACTCCTAAGCGTTTTATAAATTCATATTTTAAGGCGGTGAAACAGGATTTTCAAAAAAGTTCATTTTTTCCGGTAAAATTTCCAATTTACTTGGTAAATGCATGCATATACAGTTTACTTATTAATGTACGAGTACATAATAAAATAATAATATATATATTAATATACATAAAATCCAAATACCAAAGTACCAATCACCAAGTACCACGCACTCATTTATTATCGCTAAGAGCGACAGATCGTATAAATTTAAAATTGGACGTTGTGTTTCCACTAATGGACGTTGTGATTCCACTAACATTCTAGACGCGAAATAAGAAAAGATTTTTCAAAATTCAACCCATAAGGGGATAAAGACAAAAAGTGGTAAACAAGAAGAAAATCCATTAGCCGGAAACGCTAAAGCTACGATTAAGAAATATAGTGGATAGTTTTTTACGATTTATAGACCTCACAAAAAAGGATTAAAACTATGTCAGGCCAAGACTATTCCGTGCGAAGCCGTGCAATTCAGCTAACTATTATATATATATACACTATTATACATATATATATGTGTGTGTGTATAATATAAATATGTAGTATATATAAGAATCAACAATTAAAGCATCTGCAGCTACCAAAATAACATTTTCCCAACTACTCATCTTGATGAAACCGAATACCGAACGTGACTGAAAAAAAAAATGTATGTGGAAACATGCCAATTTCGAAGTGGCCGATCAGCTTTTTTAGTCGGTATTGCCGATCGATATTGTGAGAACGCACCTTTATGCATGTATAATGTACTAGTGGGTTTTGAGTGCTATTCTGAAAAATGTATTTTGAATTATTTGTAACTTTTGTTAAACTTGTCTGAAATGCAGCGGTTTATATTAAACATGAGTACGGATATATTCTGAAATCGTCAAATCTTTCGGATATTATTATAGGGGAAATTGTAATTATAAAATTGTTTAATGTCGTAACTGGTGAATTCCACCATATTTCAGGGAATAAGTAGTAGAAAAATTAAAGAGGAGATATAATTACGATAAAATAAAATCGCATTTATCTGAAAACCATAGTTATAATCTTGAATTAAATAATTGATAACCCGCGCATAGGCGAAAATTTACTTAGTACCTCTAAAATTAACTTATCTGTGACTCGTGAAGGGCTTGGCTCTTCACACTCCGCATAAATTACAAATACTCTATCATATCTTTAATACAAATATTATAATAAACAGAAAATTATTATTGAATAAAATACGCATATATACTTTTTAAAAAAATTCATAAAATTAAAAATATACTTATAAAATATTGAAATTTTTATTATAATTTAACCAAGGTTAATCAAAACGATTTAAAAAGGACATTTTTTTAAACTAATTACTATATATAAGTATATATTTATAGTTTCATGAATCTACTTTTTTTTTTAAAATGATTTCAAAACTACCTCAGTATCTATTTTCATGTAATTTTCTTTATAAATAACGGCTAAATCAGTTAATTTGTTTTCCCCATAGTAGTCCTCGTATAAATGAATACGGTACACGATTGAAAAACTATGATCACCCGAAGAAGAAGTAATTGGCAAAACTAATGCAACTTTAAACACTGTGTACTTCTTCTTCTTTTGCTGGCATTTAATACTCTTGTAGAGTTTTTGCCGCCATCACGATCTGCCTCCATTCTTCTCTGTTACTAACTGATGTCCTCCACTCTCGTACTCCTATTTTCTTGAGGTCTTCTACTGTATCCAACCATCTTTTCCTAGGCCGTCCGCGAGGCCTCTTTCCCATGGGCCTCCATTCCAGCACCGCTCTAACCGTCTCTTCCTTACCTTTGCGCATTACGTGACCAAGCCATTGTATTTGTTGACCACTAATAAAACTAGTGACTAGTGCCATTTCTAACTCATCCTGTAATTCACGATTGAATTTTCTTCTCCATACACCTGTTCTGGTATCATAGACAGGACCACAAATTATTCTCCATATTTTATTTTCAAACGTCCTTAATCTCCTTTCCGTGTTACTAGTGGTTGTCCAGGTTTCGCATCCATAGGTTAACGTGGGTCTTATTATAGCCGTGTACAACCTTGCCTTTGTTTTCTTTGAGAATACTTTGGATTTCAGAAACTTACTTAGTGCGAATGCTGCCCTTTCAGCCATTGTTATTCTTATTCCGATCTCTCTTGACAATCATTTTTGACACTCAGCATGACTCCTAAATACTGGAACTCGTTAACTTTTTCAAACACTACGGCTTTTTCATCATCGCCCGTATTCTCTTCATTCTCTAATAATTTCATTATCTTCGTTTTTTCCCTATTAATTTTGAATCCTATTTTGCCGGCTGCTTGTTCCAAGACCTGGGCTGGTGTCGTTTAACGACTCTCCCAAAATGTTTAAATCGTCCGCAAACCCTAGCACCTGGATTTTTCGCTCCTCTATTGTTATACCTGTTGGCTCCTTCTGCATTTCTCTAATTGTTTTCTCCAGCGCTAAATTAAATAACATTGGAGACAATGCATCTCCTTGTTTTAAGCCAGTATTTACTTCAAATGCTTCCGACAATGTACTATCTACTCTTATTTGATATTGTGTATTCTCCATACACATTTTGGTTAGACCTATTAACTTCCTTGGGATTCCAACTTCATCCATTATATTGTATAGACTTTCCCGATGTACACTGTCATAGGCTTTCTTGAAGTCAATAAATAACTGTCAATAAATAAATAATTAACTATAAGTTAATAAATAACAGGCAAAACATTTGGCAGTTATTTAAACACTGAGTACTAATTTGAATAAATATATTTTTTAATAATTGTTATTAAAACTTTCAAGCATTTGCTTAGTTTAGCTGATTTTTAAACATTCTTATCAATAAAACTGCAAAAAATAACGCATTCTATTACATATAATAATTCAATAAATTACCAAAATTAAAAAAAAAAAAAAAAAATAATCGATAAGTAAGATTTAAAAAGCTCTCTGTTGCCAACGCAAGTTACTCTCTTTAGAAAGCCTTTTTTTTTTTTTTTTTTTTTTTTAACGCTTGATTATAGAGTTAATTATAGGATAATATAAATGATTTGACCAATAGTTGTAGCACATGTCTGTTGCTCTAATTCACTATTTATACTATTTAACTATTGGTACCTAAAAATAGCAATTAGAAATAATTATTTAAAGCATTTTAAGTGTTAAAAAAGATACAATATTTATTACGAATCGCGATATTTGTTCATAGAATATATTGAGGGTGCTAAGCAACCTTAGCACCCCCCGGGATAAGCCCTCTCTGCACCTACTGCCAACAAACCCCTTCGAGGTCACTGGGACACGAGCATTCTGCGTCAAACACTTTCAACACGATTATAACATACACACGCGGACACGACTTTTGTTTACCTTTCGACATTGTCTTACGGGTCGGCGCCATCGTTATCAGCTGCTGCCGACCGATCAGCTGCTTCTCACCGCCCCGCGACCGCCGCAACACCAAGATTATCTCTACTATAAACGCGCGCACGTCTCCAAGAGCGCAGTAGTAAATGTTTTTGTTGTTATTATTACTATTATTATTATCATCATCATCATCATCATCATCATCGTTGTCGTAATCGTCGTAATCGTCGCAATCGCCATCGCGTCACGGAATAGATGAATTTCATCTATTCTGTGGTTGCATCGCGTTATCACGGCGACGGCAGAGCCACCGTAGCCGCGCAATACTTGACCACTGCACCCGTGTACCTAGAGAGGGCTTAGTATATTTTAATTCGTACCTACTTATTACGGTTATCGTGTTGTTGTTGTTCTCTTCATCGTCGTCGTCGTCGTCGTCGTCGTCGCACGCACTTATATAATTATAACAATTTTTTTTTTCGTAGAACCGTACGTGCGCGCGTGCGCGTGTATTGTTGTTACCCTTTGTTTCGCGTGTTGTTCGTGCGCGCACACACGTTCAGATACCGTACACATATATAGATATAGGTATATGTGTGCGTGTTAACGTACGTGTAAACGATTCGGAATGAGTGGTTCGAGCAGGGGAAATCGTAGTCGGACGACGACGACGTCGGCGGTTGCTGCTGCTGCGACGTCGACCGCGGCGGAGGCGGTGCAACGCGATAGCCTCGTCGACGGTTGCTGCGGAACGACGACGACGACGACGACAACGATCGGTGATCGGGCCGGACAATGGTTTTTGTTGCGCTCCGACGCCGCGTGGGCGAGCACGTAAGGAGCACTCCTTAACAGCAACCGACCGCCGAAGACAGCGGTGCGAGTTTTCCACGATAGTCGGCCGCGAGATTTTCGTCCTCGACCGGTGTCACTGCTGCTATGCCTGTCGTAAACCGCTGCTGGGGTGAATGTCAAGGCGAGTATCTAACGACCATAATAACATTATGATATACATGCGTGCGCACGTATATTACGTACAATGTCGTTGTTCACGTCGTGCCGACTCTTGTGTCATATTTCTTACTTTGCATTGTGCTCTCTCGTTTGTCCGTTAATCATTTGGTCGTCACTGCTTCTTCACCAGTTTTGTGTTTCTTTTGTGCTCAATCCGGTTCAACCATCATCTGTCTCTATGCACTAATTTGGTTTACTCGCACAAAAAATTTTTTTTACTTCTCTTGACTGTATCCGTGTGATTATTAACGTTTTCCAATGTTTGAGTGAAGCTGGAATTGGATTATGGAATTTCGTGTCTTTCGTGCGTCTAGTGATTGACTTCAGTGTTTACACTACAAGTGCAAAAGTAATCAATTTGCATACAATATTGAATTTTCAGTTTTCAATTCATTCGAAAGTAGCTGCAGAAAATAATTACTAAATGAAAATTGTCTATATGCACGCTGGTATGTAGTATGTACTACCTGAATAAATCTACATTAATTTTTAATATTTATAAGAACAAACGCGGAGAAAAAACATAATAGTTGTTACTGTTCACATTAATCCTGGTACTATGGTTAGGTCTTTAATAAATTGACTTAAGAGTGGCTATACAGCTTGCTTGGTGGTACTCTTAAACTTTTTCTTACAGCTAATAAATAGTCCGTAATTGTAGGTGAACTAAATTGAATTACGGCGTAGACTGTTGACATTGATATGAACTGATTTGTTGACTAATACCAATTACTAATAATACAATATTGGTTATTTCTCTAGTGATTAATACCATTATAATTGTGGTAATATAATTTATAAGTTACTTCATTTTTAACTAAGTAAGGCAATAAATGTATTTTTAAATTTTTAGTTTAATGTTTACAAATATTCTAACAATATTAGGTGTCTAGAAAACTTTTTTCAAATATAAACTATACAATGTATTATAGTCTACAACCGTTATGCATTTTAGATAATAGCATAATATTATTTTAACTAGTTATTTTATGTCCGATAAACTTGTGCGATTTTGCATTTCATTGTTATAACATCAGCTGTAAATACTTATAAGCAAAACATTGTAAATACATTATAATGTAGTTGCTGTTACTTAAGTTGATAATCTTACATACTTAAATGTTTTAACTATGAATTGTAGAATTAGTGAATATGTTGTATACATTATATTATCATAATGCTAAGTATTATTATCTTCAATAATTTCATTTCATTGTTTTAAACGACCATTTATTATCTAATATTCAGCTTTTACCTAGTAGAATAATAATTAATAAGTTTGAATAACATCAATACTTCTATATAGAGTACTGAGGTCATCAATAGCAACAATTTATAATTTTGCTTATTAAAGGTTGGTTATCAATTTCTTTATGTACTTACAAAAATACATAATATCGTTGTTACTTCTAATCATTAAAATTATTATTTTATGATAATCTTTTAATTGTGTTCAAGTTTATGACAGATAAAGGTCAATAAATTGTATGTATAGTAAATATCAGTATTTATTTTTATAATTATATTATGCTCTACATAAATTTAATACTTAGATTTTGATAAGACATTGAAGTGCATTTAACAGTAGATAAGTACTTAAATTTCTATTACTATTACTACAGTAGAATAAATACAGTTTTCAAGTTAAAGGTCATTTATTGTTTTCTTTTTTTTTTCTGAATATACTAATAAGTTTATTTTTATAGGTGTTTTTTGAGTGGATTTATTTTTCACTTAATACATGGCCATGGAAACGCTTACAAGAGATGTGCCATCTAGTATGCACCACCATAATAATTCATCTGTTTCAAACATGAAACACAGTTATGTTCAGGTATATGTGATAAAAATGATTTACTTGAATAATATTTTAATATGTACTCTAGTTACTAGAGTCTATTAAGTTATATTTATCGAAAATTCACTTTTTCAGCTGTCCAAAACATGTTTAGATGAAGATGCTCAAATAAATAAAAAATTACCTAAAGAGCTTTTATTACGGTATAATTTAAACTTTATTTAATAGCTTTTATATATAATAATTGTATTTGTATGTTTTAGAATATTTTCATACCTAGACGTTGTGTCATTATGCCGATGTGCTCAAGTATCTCGTTCATGGAATGTATTAGCCTTAGATGGAAGCAATTGGCAAAAAATTGACTTATTTGACTTTCAAACAGATGTTGAAGTAAATTTGATTTATCTCTTTCTATATATATATATATATATATAATGATTGGTTGTATATTTATCATTAAATATTAATTCAAAAACATTTTTAGGGTCCAGTGATAGAAAATATTTCTCACAGATGTGGGGGTTTCTTGCGTCAAATTAGTTTACGTGGATGTCAATCTGTTGGTGATGGCTCTCTGAAAACTCTTGCTCAGTGTTGTAATTATATTGAATATATTAATCTGAATGGATGCAAGAGAATAACAGACAGGTAAGCTTAATACAATTTTAAAGTAGTACAAAACTAATGTGTTTAATGTTAATTTTTATAATATATTACAGCACTAGTCAATCTTTAAGCCAATATTGTAAAAAACTACTGTCCTTAGACATAGGATCATGCTCTATGGTTACTGATTTATCTTTAAAAGCAATTTCTGATGGTTGTCCAAATTTGACCAGTGTTAATATATCATGGTGTGATGGCATTACAGAAAATGGTAAGTATTGTATATTTTTGTTTCCTACTTATTTTCTTATTTTGCACTTAATCATATGTATAGGTGTAGAAGCATTGGCACATGGTTGTCCAAAACTTAAGTCGTTTATATCCAAAGGCTGTACTAGAATGACCACACGAGCAATCAGTTGCTTAGCACAACATTGTGTAAAATTAGAATTAATAAATTTGCATGGATGCAATGTAAGTATAATTAATTTTGGTTTTATTTAAGTGTAACAACAAATTAAATAATTATATTTTATGATTTTCTATAGAATATTGAAGATGAAGCTGTGATAAAGTTGGCGAACAACTGCAATTCCTTAAAGTATATATGTTTTGCTAATTGTTCTCTGTTAACTGATAATTGTCTCGTTGCCCTGTCTGAGCAATGCTATCAATTAAATACTTTGGAAGTAGCAGGTTGTTCTCAGTTTACTGATATAGGATTTTTAGCATTATCAAAAGTAATTAAATGCTCATTATATTTTGAAAATGTTTTATATTTTATCAAACAATTTTAATAGACTTGTCATCTTTTGGAGAAAATGGATTTAGAAGAATGTGTATTTATTACAGACTCAACTCTATTTCATTTAGCAATGGGATGTCCTAGACTTGAATATTTGGTAAGTATTATTGAAAATTATTTGGTTATCATTATTAAATGAATTGCATTACAGAGCTTGTCACACTGTGAATTGATCACGGATGAAGGTATCAGACATCTGAGTACTTCGGCATGTGCATCAGAACATTTGGCTGTGCTTGAACTAGACAATTGTCCTCTTATTACTGATGCATCTCTTGATCACCTTATTAACTGTCATAATTTACAAAGAATTATGTTGTACGATTGTCAGCTTATTACTAGAAATGGAATAAAACGACTTCGAGTGAGTAAAAATGTATTTATTTTTTTCAGTTTAATTACGAGACTCTAGTACATTTATTGATGGAATTATATAATGGTTTTAAAAACTTCTTAATCATTAATTAAATGTGAATGACTGACGGACTTTTAATATATCAATAAGTTGATTTTCTTTGTAATTTTAAACCATCTATTATTTCTATTGTTCTATTTAGACACACTCTCCTAACATTAATGTACATGCCTATTTTGCACCTGTAACACCACCACCATCCACTGGCAATAGTCGTCAACATTATTGTCGTTGCTGCGCCATATTGTGAGACTGGCTTGAAGGCCGGTCATGCACACGTTTATGTGCTACTTGCCTGAAATATTTGGCCAACTTATTGCAATCATTCGCCTGCTGTGTATTAAAATATAATATTTATTTTCTACCATTCTTTTTTATTATGATGATGTTATATTGTTTATTATTATATTTAGTATACGTACATAGATAATGATTGTATTTTAAGTTCTATAAAGAAATACTGTCCATTTGGACTGATATATTATTTAAGTTTATGTATATATGTGTGTTTCTGTCCACAAAATGATTCATTAAACGATATAAACCCAAATTTTCATTTAATATTTTTAGTAACTTTATGGAGTTTAGTTTTAAATATATATTTATTTATTTTTATTATATTTTATTCATTTAAAAACCAAGTTTTATTTAAATAATAAGGAATTCATATGAGAACAGAAACATTCCTTCATCTCTTTATTTATTTCAATATTTTTATCCCTCCAAAATTTAATCATATAAATTATTTTCATTAATATGATACTCAGGCAGAATAACAAAAAAAGAATTAAACTATGTATAACCTCATTTAAATATTAAGTATATTATATTTTATAGCACAATATAATTTGATGGTATAATTTAATATTTAAAAATGAACTAAAAATATGAAAGAAAAAACTCCTTTAATGAACTCTGTGTATATAGATTTACTATTTATCCATCATTTTTTTACTATTAAATTAATGTTCCTTTATGACAATACAGAATATGATGAATATTTAAAGACTAACAAGAATTATGTATTATGCTTTTTGTCTTATCAATTCTACAGTTTTATTCATAGTGGTTTGATAAGCATAATAATTATCTTCAATCATACTATATTTCTTTTTACATGTTTATCGAACAAAATTATTTCTATTATCTGTTATGTTTTAGAAATATACTTTCTTCTATTCTTATTGTCAAATGTTAGTTCATTTACATGTTTATGATGTATGTATTTGCATATATTGATATTTTAGATTTCCATTTATTAAATCGGAAAATATATTTTATTTTGGTGCTCGATCTTAGGACTTATTAAAATTCATATTATTGTCATTTGCATAAATTAAGGGGTTGTTTGTAGAAGATTATGGTTCAGTATATATAACTGATTTTTTAACTTTATTAATCTATAACTTATATATGTTTATAAGTGTGTTAAATTATAAATTTTCCTTTTTTTTTTTTTACAAAAATATTTAAGTATTTTAATTTTGAAAATTTGTAATTCAAAATACTATGTGGTATGTCTAGACATTTTGAAACTAGACAGTGAATTTTTATGTGATAAAAGCAATTTTAAACAAATTTGAAGTTATTTATAACTTTTGATTTTCATTAAAGAAAAGACGCTATTTTTAATCTCTATGTAATTACATTAATTTATATTTTGCTTGTACACATTAAAATGAGAGATGTACAAAAAAGATTTAATGTAACAAAACTTATTTAATCCAATAGGTGACCAATACTATGAATTTTAAATATTATTTAAATGTGAAAATATTTTAACGGATGTGATAGCTTAATAAATAAATTATGTTATTATATCCATAATTTTTTTCCATTCAACCCCATTTATGACCTTAATATTATTGTTTAATTAAGTAACTAATGCCTTTTTTAGTCATACTACCATTAATTTTATATTAACAGTATATTATTATTATTTATTAACAAACATAATTAATTTATGTTGTAATTTATATGATTGTAAAATTTTTTTTAATTTACAATATTTTTGTACTTTTTATTTTGGTTTTGTAATTATTAAAAAAAAAAAAATACAAAATTGATTATATTTTGCAACATTTTTTGTGCAAGTTTTGCTGTTAAATATAGAAATGTGATTTTATTTTTCGCTTGTTTGATCATTCAAATAAAGTGAACTCAAATTATAAATATAATGAAATCGTCTGTTTTCTAACTGCATTAAATTTTTAAGTTTACTTACTTAATCTCTGATAATTGATAATATTCCTTCTATATTTATTTTTAAATTTTACTTGAAAAATATGTTTAATTGTGTGTTACACTTTTCTGTTGTTGAAGAAAAAAACAAACATTGTTGCCCTGTGTTATCTGATGGATGTAGCTGAATATTTGTTTATTTAAAAACAAATTATAGATATTTTTAAGATTTTACAAAAAAAGAACACTTACTAGTTACACTAAGTTTACTGTTATTGCACTAGTATGGGAGAAATACTACAAATCCAAGTTGGCCAGTGCGGTAATCGGATCGGAAACAATGTACGTAACTGGATTTTTACGTTTCTGTATACAGGTGCTGGGAACTCGTGGCCCGCGTAACATTATTCCACGGTCCTCCAAAAATTTCTTACGGTATTTAAAATTATAATTTTATATTTTAAATCGTAATGTAAAATATATAATTTTATTACAAATAAATAAGAAAAACCATGAAATGAAACCGATGTGATTTTTGATATTAATAATTGTATCTAGTACCTACCTAATATACGTATGTAAAAATTGTTTTCTTAATTACATTTATTTGCCTTTTTAATGTGGTTTTCAATGAAAAGCTAAAAAAAATATGATCAACGTAGGTAAAAAGTTTTTTCACTCCGGCTCTGATGTATAAGTACATACTTTAATATAGTATTTTGTGCGAACTTGTGCTGTAGTTTTGGGAAGCCATTTCGAACGAACACGGAATCGACGAACAAGGACATTTCGTCGGTTATTCCGCAAGAACTCAATTGGAGCGAATCAATGTGTACTATCAGGAAACCAAGAGTAAAAACTTTACCTTCACTATAGTTTCAATCATGGTTATAGATACAGTATCTAGATCGAGTGACTACATTTAGAATCTTGGCAGAGCAGCGTTCAACGGGGGGGGGGGGGAATTGCCCCGGGGTGGCAAATTTTTGAGGATCAACATAAAGTAATATATAATTATAATTTTTCTTGTATGAATGTATAATTATAATATATATTATTTTGTTCATAAATACCACGAAAAAGCCGCAGTCTACAGTTCCATGTCACAAGGCGATAAAAATTAAGAACTTGTGCTGTAATCGTATAAACTATTTTCGTTATTCCTGTACGTTTTTTCCTCGAAAATAGTCAGGTACAAGTATATCGTTTTATTTTATCTCGGCAGTCGGTACTAGTGATGGGCGGTAATGAATAATTTGTACTATCGATTATTATTTGATTATTCATATATACTATCGAATAATTATTCGAAAAATATTATGCATGACTGAATAATTAAAACTATTAAATAATTATTCGACTAATCTATACTATTGAATAATCAAAACTATCGAATAATCGATACCATTGAATAATTCGAATAAACTGTAGTCTGTAGTAGACACGTCGTCAAGGGGGGACCTTAGGGGGCCCGGCTAAAATCAGTGGTCCTAAACTGGCCCCCTTGATTTTGATTTTTAAGTATTATGGAGTTTAGTTGTCCCAAACTGGTTAAATCCTGAATATATATTCCATATGGGCCATTGTAAACTCCGCTAGAATATCGGTTAAGATAAAAAGATAATTAAAGGTCTAGGGCAGGGGTCGGCAATTAATTTATATGGCGGTCCAAATATTTAAAAAAAAAAAATTTCGAGGGCCAAAAAAATCTTAAACTTAATTTTATCATTAATGTATTTATTTTTGTATTAAAAACACATTTTAAGACAAAGTATTTAATTATTTATAAAGTAATTATACATTCATACTAAAAATAACAAAATTGTATTAATGAGAAAAATGACATTTCTTTTCTTGAGCTAGTTTTTTAAAATCTGGTACTCTTGGAGAACAACTGATGCGTAAAGTGTTTTCAAGGTGGTGATCTGTTAATCTTGAACGGTATCGGTTTTTTAAAAACGTCATTTTTGAAAACGAAGTTTCACATACATAAGTGGAGCCAAACATAGTAGCTAATTTTATGGCAAGGGTTTTACAGTTCATGTATTTATCCAAGACATGCTTTATCCAAAAATCTTCAGTGGACGAAGTTTTATACATTTGCAATGAGATATCTTCTTGCAAATCAATAATTTCAATTTGAAGTGAAGATTTTGGAAGTTTAAATAATTTTGTAGCAACGTCAATCCATTCTCCAGTCGGAGAAACTTCAAACGGATTTTTTAAAAATTGAGACAGTTTTCCAATTTCTGCAAAGTCTTTGAATCTCTTACGAAATTCTTCACCAAGGTCTGACAAAAAACTTAAAAACATACTGCAGTCTATGTCGGGAGTCTTTTTATATTCTAGGATTGTTGGAAAATGAATAAAATCTTGATTTTTTATATCTTCTTCAAAGATTTCAAGTTTTCGTCGGAAAGCAAATACACTTGATATCAGATCACAAATTAACTTTTTTTGCCCTTGTAACTCAGTATTAAGTACATTTAAATATCCAAGAATGTCTTTTAAAAACGCCACAGATAGCATATTGCTCTCATTTGTTAAGAATTTATGATACTGCTTTGATTCTACTGAATCCAAGTTTACCAAGAACGTGATAACTTCTTCTTTTATACTCCAAAAACGTTCGATCACTTTGCCTTTACTTAACCAACGGACATTGTTATATTGAAGTAAATCCGAATACACTGAATCACATTCAAATAAAAAATCTTTAAACTGCCTGTGCTGAAGAGCAGATCGGGACCTCAAAAAATTAATCAACTTGATCATTATGTCCATTACTTCCTTCAGTGTTGTACTAAGTTTGCCACACAGGGATGTTTGATGAATTATACATTGATATGAAAGTATTTCAGCATTCTTATCCTTGATTCTCTTAACAAATCCCTTTTCTTTACCAATCATTGCCGGTGCGCCATCAGTTGAAATAGACACAATTTTATCATAACTAATATTTGATTTAGTCATGAAGTCGTCAAAAGTTTTAAACAAATCTTCTCCACGAGTCTTGCATTTCAATGGCAATAATGCTAGCAACTCGTCTCTAAATACTCTACTTTCAACGTCTAAAAAGCGCACAAAAATTGAAATTTGCTCAGAATCAACAATATCACGTGACTCATCAATTGCAATAGCGTAGCAAGGAGCCATCTGTAAAATGTGAATTAAATTATTTTTGTTGTCATCGGCCAATAGTTCTGTTCTTCTTGTATTGCTTCTTGCTGATAGAGGAATACTTTGAATAGCATTAATTATGTCCTTTTTTTCTTCAAAAAGTGCAGTGGCTACTTCCAACATACACTCTTTTACAATTTCTGAGTCTGTAAATGGTTTTTGGTGTTTATTTAACGTCCAGCAAACACGCAATGCTGCTTCTACTGACTTTTCTTGCCCAGTCATACTTTGTACTAACATAGTCGTACTATTTTTATAAGACAAGAGATACGCTTGGAGCTTATTTTTACGCGCTGCACTGTTAAGAGGAAATTTTTTTTCAAAATCTTTATGCATTGTATCATAATGACGCTTTAAATTAGCACATTTAACGACAGCAACTGTACTGTTACATATAAGACAAACTGGAACGGCTCCAGCTCTTACTGGAAGTGTAAAACAATATTGTTCGGTCCACTCGGCCAGAAACTTTCTGTTTTCATTGTCAACTTTACGTTTTTTTGGAAAACATACTCGATTATACACGAATAATATTTATAAATTAATAAGTTTTAACACTACAGACGCGACGGACTACGAATACGAATATTTATAATAATTTCTTGACGAACGACGAACGACAAACGCAACGCGTAAATTGAACTAAATAATATTTGTGTTTCAAGAAGTAGGTTCAATGTATGGTGTTCTGTTATCGTGACTATTATTATAAACAGCGGTATACGATGAACGCTATCGTAATTTCCTAATAAATCATAAAAATAGATCGCCTCTGAATATTGTATTTTACACACACACACACACATGCGCGCGCGCGCGAATGCAAGCGACTCGGCCCGCAGCCGTGACTGTGGCACGTTCAACAACAACACAGAATACAGATAATTATAAACCGTTATTATTGTCTCACCGCCTAATGAAATCGATTTCAATATTGGTTTAATTTTTGTTATGAACGGAGGGGGAGTGATACATAGGATATATGGGAAAATTAAGATAATTTTTGGCGGTCCAGTTATTTCCCTTCCGCGGGCCGGACATGGCCCGCGGGCCGCCTATTGCCGACCCCTGGTCTAGGGTAAACTCCGCCAGTTTTTTTCTTACCTGTAATGGGTATATGTAAACACCTCCAGTTATGATATCGGCAGTAGGTAAGGTGAAGTATACTTTGACGAACATAATCATTCCTAGTCTGCATGTCTCCGTGTTTATTTTATACTAAACGAAATATGTTGCTACAAAGTAATAATATAAAACTAATTACTGGTCAACGAGACAATTTATTGGTTTTATTTAACAACTACAAATATAACCATAATATGAAATATGCGTCTGGTGAAATAAAATGAAGGTATGATATTATATAATATTATAATAATAATATTCACATATTATTACTTATTAAGTATTACGTTTAATAATATATCATATTAATTTTGTACTACTACTCGATTTTCTTCACTGGCGGAGTTTACATGAATCTAATTTCACCTGTTTTATTTTCTGGCGGAATTTACAGTAAAAAAAAGTACTTGTGGCAGAGTTTACATGCACCTATTCTATATAATTAACGATTGTATAACAAAAATTAATTTCTGAGATTCTATTTTATAAATATTCGTCACTTGACAGTTTGAGATAAGACAATAGTACGTGTATTAATAGATTGAAAACTAAGAATTCCAAATACAGATATCGAACGCACATTTGATAAACACAACTACAGAAAGGGGCCAAAAAATGTTGGCCCCCCTTATAAAAATATATCTGGTTACATGCCTGGTCTGTACTCAGTATTGTCGATAATTATTTGTATATGCTTGCCGGCGGTCGTAATTTATCCATACGCCAAGTGTATTTTTCTAAGTTATTCACCAGTTTTCTCTTGTTCATATTAATATATTGGGCTAAAAATATAAATCATACGTTTTCTCCAAAAATAATCACGCAAATAATAATACAAAGAATATATAAACTTAAAATATTTTATTAAAATTACCTTAGATTTTTAAATAATAATATTTTTAAAAGTTAACAGCTATATATTTTTGTGTGAAAAAATAAGAGTATCTAAATTATAGTATATATTATTATAAGTGTATTATTATACACAGTATTCACTATTCATACCACCATTGTATCCAATGAATCTCAATAGTGCAGCTGTTGTGTAGTCACGCACTGTAATAACGCGGCTTTTTATTCCAAGGTTTAATAAAATATTGATTACTAGAGCCCGGATTTATATGCATTTGCATGTTTGTACTAAGTGTATGCACGTCTATGGAGGTTTAAAATGGTCCATGGTTCATATCACACCAAATTTTGTATTGCATATATTGCATATTTGTTCATAAATGCATATAACATGTATATTTAATGGGTTTTTAATAAATTAAAATTGTTTGTATTTTTTTCAAGTTTTCTATTCGTTTTTTTGAGAGTATGTAAATTCAAATAATCTAAAATATTTATTTTTATTTGTATTCTCGTTTTAAAGTTTCCTAAAAGTTTTAGATCGATTTAAATGATTTGAAATATAAAGCAGTGGAAATTATCATTTTTTTTTTGTTTTTGAATTTTATTTGGTATAAAAGTGTGGTTTTAAAAAAAAAACACGTTTTATAAAGCATAACATAATGCATATAATCGCATATTTTGGTACTTTTTCTTTGCATATTTGCATCATATTTGACACTTTTTAAGTGCATATAAATCCGAGCACTACTGATAACATTACTGTACGTTTCTTAACATTTAGTAATAATATTAAATAATAAAATTTTACTCAAAATTGAATAATTATTCAATTGAATAAATAACTTGGTAAGACTATCGAATAATTCGATAGTTATTATTCAATAACGCCCATCACTAGTCGGCACATTGCACACCGTTAGGCGTGTAAACATCTTTTCAGCGTGACAATTTTATTTGTTGACGGTTAAAATATTATTTTTCTTAAAGGCGGCATATTTTAATTTTCCCCGGGGTGGTAACATAGCTTAACGCGACACTGAATCTCGAGACATATGCTATAAGGTTATAGGTTCACAATCCACTACACTATAATACCTAAAAATATAATACGTCTTTTAATCGTAGAGTAAAACTAAGAATTTAAGCCCATAGTCAGAGGCGGAATGGGAAGCAAATTCAAACCTATAGACGTGGCCGGCGAGAGGGTGGGGCAGGGAGGGCTAGAGCCCCGGGGCCCGTACGTTCTAGAGGGACTGTCGTTTCGGCCTTGTATACAATGTTTTTGTCGTGCCAAAGCATGTACAAGTGGTCTTGGTGCATCTCGGCCAAATAACTGCAAAGGAAAGGCAGCCCGGAACCCCCGCAGCCCCGGGGCCCTCAGAAGTTCTCGCCGGCCCTGCCTATAGAATATGTCTTCAATACGGAGTGGTAATACTATAATATTTTTAAATTATAACATAAATCACCAAGACATAAACTACGGTATTTTAGTATACAAATAATACAATAATTTCATAACCTTTTAAAGGACTATGGATTTAAACGAATTGTTAACTTTGTAATTAATATATTATACAACTACGTATCATTAAAAAATCGCCATGTAATTTGGGGAATTCTCATTTCCAGAACGATTTCCCCACAGTCCACCCATAAGACTTAAAGTAGCAAGTAAACACTCGGCAACTATGATGTATATTTCACATCGAGCGGTCCTTGTAAATATTAATTATTTATATACATACTTGTATGATATTTAATATGAGTTGGTTGTTGTTTGTTACATTGTTTATTACATTATTACATTTTTTTTACGTTGTCTGTAACACTGTTTCCCGCAACTATCAGCTTATGAGACGTAATAGTAGGTATTGGTGATAATGAAATAAATTATAAAAATTGTTTTAATAATTTTACTACGAATTTTTGTTATTAACTAATGGGCAACTTTTAAAGTGGACAATAATTCAAAGCAAACGGTCAAGCGTTCTAGTAGCTCACTAAAAAGGCTCTAAAAGGCACGGTCTTAAGCGCTGCGTGAGATAGGGGGGAGTCCCTTTGCATCCTCTCCACATCAAGCCTAAGTCACCCTTGCTCTAGCTGCGTCCTTGACACGGTTGTCTCCAGATGAGACGTACGTACCTAGGGCTGTACTCGTGGACACGGATCCGACGGCTCTTCACTCGTTGGCGGGCCGCCCGAACTGCCGGTTCCGGCAGCAGAACTTCGTGTGCGGCCGCGGTGGAATTCAGTATAACTGGCCAAGTGGATATCACGCGGACGACGATTTGCCGGGTCGTGTGTGGGCCGCGATCCAGTCGGAGGCCGAGATGTGCGACCGATTGCAGGGGTTCCAAATCGTGCACTCGCTGGGCGGTGGCACCGGTTCGGGGCTTGGAGCGCGCGTCGCGGACCATCTGCGCGCCGAGTACCCGGGCCTGACGGTCAACACGTTCAGCACGTTGGGGCCGCGACCGTGCGACGCGGACGACGGCATCGGCGAACCGTTTAACACAGCGCTGTGCGCCGCCCGGTTGATCAGCGCGGCGCACAATACGTACCTGGCCGACAACCGGGTGCTGTACAACGCGTGCACCGGTCCGCTGGCCATGGCCGAGCCCACGTACGCGGACCTCAACCACCTGGTGTCGCTAACCATGTCCGGCGCGACGGCCGGGCTGCGGTTCGCGGGCCAGCTGAACGCGGACATGGCCAAGCGCACCAACGACCTGGTGCCGTACCGACGGTTGCACTTCTTCGCGCCCGTTTTCGCGCCGCTCACGCACCGCGGACAAGTCAACGACATACGCGCGCGCCCGGACGCCGCAGAGCCTTTGCGGCTCGCCGCCCAACTGTTCGCCGCGGTTTCGTCCCGTTGCGGCGATCGCCCGCACGTCATCATGGCCGCTGTGGCCACGTTCCGCGGTAGCCACCTGCGGTGCACCGGCCAGCCGGACGTGTTGTCCAGACGCATGGTGGCCGCAGCTGGCGTCCGTCGGCAGCGCTTCCTGTTCCCCGACAACGTCAAGTCCACCGTGTGCGCCGTGCCGTCGACTGGCATCCCGCTTAGCGGCACGTTGGTGGCTAACACGACCGCCGTGCTCGACCTGTTCGACTGCGCGCGCCGTCGATGCGTGTATGCGCTGACCAAACGCGAACGGCTCCACTCGTTCGTTACTGAGGGCATGACCGCCGACGATTTCTACCACGCCTTGGAAAAGATCGATTCGTTGATCGAAGAATATCGATCGATCGACCGGATGATCGACGACAACGACCGAGTCGTCGGTGAATAAGTCTCCGGAGCACGGTACGACGACGACGACAACGTGTAATACGTTATATTGCGATATGTTAATCAAAATCTGTTTATTTTAAAATTCAAGTTTTTAATTCGTGAAAACCGTTATTGTTTAATGAAACGCATAGGTACACGTAATCAGGTCTGACGAGAAGGGGAGGTGAAAGGGATGATCCTCCGGGCCCCGAAATAAGGGACTACAAATTATTAAAAATTTAACACATTTAATGATAGAATTTAATGAACACTGCAGAAAAAATTAAGATATACATCCCGGGCTCCACGGCCCTGCAAATAATGCCCATGGTCTAAGGTTACCAGATTTTGAAAACACCGAATTTTGCTGTACTGGAACGAACTCAAACGACCTTTTATCTTTCTTACGTTGAGTAATTATTCCAAACGGTATGGACGTGTAGAGTTAAGAGTACTAAAACCATTCTCGTTGATCCCCGCGTGCTCGTAACAATACTTATAAATTTATTATGCATTTGTCAAAATTTTCTTAAATTTTTCTTCTCAACCCGGGATATTTATCCGTTCCTGGAGTTTTTTCGGGACACGAGTCACAAAACTCTGTAGTCTCTTGAGAAATCCGAGACTTATGCAGTGCATATGTTTGCCCTAGGTGCTGTTGGTATAAGGGCGCTCTTTAGTTTATAAAAAATAAAAAGGTCATTAACACACCCCGTACATTTTCACTAGTCCCTGGCGTCAAATTGTCTAGGATGTATGATTACTCTAGGTTATCCGTTTTCTATAACTAGTGGATGGAGGAGGCAAGTAAGAACATTAAAAAATAAATCGTCTCAATGATAAAATTCTTCTATTCAATTCTTCGTCTTCAATTGATAAAAATATCGCCTTAAGAATGCATCTGTTAATACAAAGCTTATAACTGAAGACCGGATTTTTATGATTTTATATATTTTTACTGAGAGTATGCAACTCATACTGAATAAGCTTTCTTGACGATTTATTTTCCTACAATTGATATACGAACATTTTTTAGAATAATATAATCAATAAACATAAAAGATCATATTTCAAAGAATATATTGTGCAAAATAATATGTTTTAAGATTATATAACCATATTGAGGTTTAGTTTGAACATTTTATAAACAATTTAACGGTCTATAAAAAATGCAAAAATGTTTTTTAAACTGCGTTAGTCTCTATCCTTTTCAAGACAAAATGTGCAAAGCAATATTGATAAGAACATAAAATTGGTGTGAAAATCAATTATTCTGTTATTAGTGATCAGACATAAAAAAAAATTTCACTGATATCCATAAACCTCATATCACGAATTAAGATATACTAATAGACTGCCTTCTTGTACACGTAGAACGATTATTGATAATTTTTATTATTTAAAATATGTTATTTATATTATTTTTAAATAAATCTGAATTGCAGGTACTAGGTAATTACGTGCTACAGTCACAAATGTAAAGTATAAAAATCAATATAAAAGTACCAATTAATTTAACTAAATTGTTTTCCATTAATAAAGGAAATATTTATAATTTTTATAAACTGTTACTTTTATTTGTTTTTTCAATATCTATTTAATATATTTTTATGAAAAATCATATTTTTCCAAAAAATATTATTTATACACACGAGAAAGATTATTTTGATGAAATTATAAAGCATAAGAACATCTTATTTTTAAGATTTTAAGCGTATATAAATCCGGTCTCTATTATTAAAATAACATAGAATATGTTAGGTACCTACTCATTTTTCATTGGGGTAATCAGTTGAAGACAAAGGTATACAGCAAATATTTCGTTAGTCCTACCAAATAGTTTAGTGGTTAATCTTACAACCGACTTCTTCAATACAGTACAGCCAAACTTTTAATATTATATTTAACAAGATTTAATCTTAAAACTTTGTTTTTTGCTTTTACTTTTATTTTTGAATTAAAAACAATAATTAAATTAATTTTTTATTTCCTTATATTAATATCAATTAATTAATGGAAGTTAAACCTATATTAAAAAAAATAATTTTGGTTTAGTGAATGTTTAGTGAAAATGTTAGGTTATTAAATATTGTTGAATAGTAAATTATATTTATCACTTTTATACACCGGTAACACATAAACGTTGCCGTTTTTTTCTCAAAAAATAGCTAGCTGTTTATCTACTAGATGATTTCCCAATATTATTGGGCCAATAAAATATCAGATGATGATCGGAATAATCTTGGTCAAAATAGTGCTGTAACGAAAAATAACTCATTATGGTACAATCAAACATTTCTCGTTCGCTGGGCCTAAAAAACCAATCTTTAAACATAGTTAAACTAGTTTCACTTAGAATCCGAACATTTTTATTTATTTATCCAATTGTAAGATCAATGATTAGAATAGGCGTCACTAAGGGGTATTTTTGCTACCACAAATATTTTTGTGGGGTAGCAAGAGTATCTTTTTGCTACGACAAAAAAAGTTATAGATTTTAAAAAATATATTCGAAGTTTATTATTCAAGTGTATACGAACATAGACCATATATTATTATGATTGTATACAAAATAATAATATTTTGTGATAAGTTCAATACGGACAGTAAGACAGTGTAATAATAAAGTATTCGTCATACCAAGATTTATGAAGAAGTGTAAGCAGTTATCATATAAAACTTATAAAAATTAATTTTTTAACTTTCTAAAAATAAACTTTGCTACCACAAAATTTGGACTTTAGTGATGCCCATGATGATTAGTAAATATATATATATTTTAATTTGGTATGGTATTGTTTTTAAAAATATTTTATTACATATGACACAAATTTATATTTATTAAATTTAGTAGAAATAATTTTATGCAATTTATTAAAAAATTTTTACCATATTTCTGAGAACTACAATTTTAGAATATAAAATAAATTAAATAGGATTTAACATTTATACCTATCTAATTTAACTTACAAAACACGTATTGTATTTATTAGTTATTTTACATACCATATAGTGTTGATTATTTTGTGTACAATCTATGATTGGAGATTATGGTTTAATAAAATAAGTAGTATAAATAATGCCGAAAAAATCATTATTCTTAAGCAATATCAATCATAATGCTAAAGATCTTCTCTTACAACTTTCATCCCTGAGCATGATTATCTATGATATCATATCTTATGATAAATACTAACAATTAGTATACAATGAAGTTTATATAATCAATAATACTAATCATGAAATTATAATATGAATTTGTTTTGTAAAAATAAAAATGGCAAACTATTAGATAAATGTAAATAACAAAGAACTCATTGTAAGACCTTGCATTTTTCCTACATTTATTTCCAGTAATATGAAAACTATTATCGATATTGAAAGACTATTTTTTAAAATTAATGATTGATTTGAATGAAATGATATAATAATTTAAGTATCATTCAGCAAGTATTACAAATAGTAACTCATTGACTTTCTAATTTTTTTTTTGCTTCTTATTTCACAATTTAAGATGCAAAAATATAATAGTATAAATTAGTAGTAAATAAATTATTAATTATAAAATAATTTGATACATGTCACAAAGTTATATTTAAGTATTAATATAATTATTACAATATTTTAAATAAACTTAAGTCCAAATTGACTTATTAAAAAAATCCCTTTAGAAAAACCATAAAATATTAATTCTATAAGTCATATATTTAAAAATAGGAAAAATATAATTAAAAATATAAATATTCACTTACATTATATTTACAGTATTGGGCAGAAATGTCAGATATATAACTAATAATGTTTACTAACCTAAAATGTTAGTATTTAAAAATCATAAGTTTAACATAAAATCTATATTAGAGTATTATACATGTGAGTTTTTTGGTGGTATTTAAAATGACTGGAGCTGGTAAAAGATTTGAAGCAAATGTCACATTTGAATGGTCTGTGGCCAGTATGCGTTCGATAATGAACTACTAGCCCACCTGTACTGGAAAACAATTTGTCGCAAACGTCACACTTTAATGTTTTTTTTTCATTTGAAACCACGTGTGATTTTTGGTGATACTTGAAGTGACTGGAACTAGTAAAAGCTTTGAAGCATACTTCACACTTGAAAGGGCGATCACCAGTATGCATTCTAGAGTGGACTACGAGGCCACCAGAACTGGAGAACAGTTTATTGCATACATCACATTTCAAAGTTTTTTTTGTATTCATCTGAGAATGAGACTTTTGATGATACTTGCAGTGACTGGAGCTGGTGAAAGTCTTAAAACAAACATCACATTTAAATGGACGATCACCAGTGTGAGAGCGGTAATGGACAGTTAGGCCACCAATGCTGGAGAAAAGCTTATCGCACACATCACATTTTAGTGATTTTGAATCTTGCAAAAAATGATGAGTTCGCTGATGGTATAAAATGCCATTGGCACAAGAATATTCTTTGTTGCATACATGACATTTAAATGGTTTATCTCCAGAATGCACACGCATATGGTAATTGTAATGACTCGAATTCGAGAAGGTTTTACAACATAAATCACATTTAAATGGTTTATTACCTGTGTGCATTCTGTAGTGAACAGTCAAACCACCAGAACTGGAAAATGATTTTTTACAGACATCACATTTGAACGGCTTGGCTTTGACCTCTGTTTTTTTAAGACCGAATTCATTCAAGTGCTTTTTAGTACTTACATTTTCAGCTACTTCCATGTTTGAAGTAAAGTGTCCATTTAACAATGGGTTACTTCTGTTGCTGAACTCAAAACTGTTTAAACATAATTTATTATTAAATAAATAACAATTACAAAAAGAAAGTATATAATTTATTTAAATCTTACTGTGGAGGTCTGAATATATCATTTCTGTTGAATCGAAATGCCATATTGTTCCCAATACTACCTGGACTGATTTCTATTTCACTGTCAAACAAACTATGGTTGAACATTTCTCGATCGAATCGAATAGTTAATCGAGCATTGGGATTTAGTTCGTAAGCACTAGCTGCTAAACCAAATGCTGGCATATTGCTGCAAATAAAATATAAAAAAACACTCGTTAATAATTATTGTTTTTCGAGAAAGATATTATGCACTAAGTACAGCTATGGTAACTTTTATATATTTGATGATAATGTTATTGTAATGAAAATTCAAATGAGTATAGCTGAAAACGAATTAAAAATCATGTCACTCAAGAGAAACCGGAACATTTGGTTAGTACACAATTTTCTAACTTCCATTGAATGCCATACAAGGAAAAACAAATGTAAAAAGTATTATGATAGACTGTCATACAAACTTTGAGCCTTTACCTTAGGTTATTGATTAGTGGTCCACGGCTGTCGGAGTGCTCTTGTTTGATATTGTCCATGACACCGGCATGGGCCGTGGACGCCGGATGAGCCATTTCCATTTGGCCGGACAAACAGCGGTTGATGTCTGTTCAACAGTCGCTGAATTCCATTACCGCGTGCAGACTCGTGGGGCGACGGAGGCTGCAGCGATCGGACGGCGTCATAGGCATGCAAACATCTTTGACGACAACGACGGGATGGACCACACGGCGGCGGCGGTTGCATAAGATGATAGATCGACGGCGTGGTACATGCAAGTGGGTAGGGTTAGGGAGATTGTCGCCGTACGGAGACGGAGAAAATCTGACCGAGGAAGCGAGAAACGGTTAATCGAGACGGGAACAAGATGAACAGGAAACAACGTTGGACCATTAAAGCACAGAACTGTTCTGTCACTTGTCCGGTCCGACGACGTTGTAATCTAGCGCATAGAGTACGTATGTGTATAAACAATACAAAACCGACATTTCTGATAAGAGCCGAGTCAGGGGCCCCGTCGAATCAGACGATATTGGTCGAACGGTTGACAACGGCGGTCGGTCGTGGTGGCGGCGGCGGCGGTAGTTTTGAGTTTACGGTAACAACATCACTGTGCCCGCACGGTGATAAGAAATAAAGTAATAAAGTTTCCGTATTGCCGCGGTTGCACTCCGTAACGCAATTTAATCGTTCATTATATTTCATTGTACTTTAGAGTATTTTACACGATTACAATTAATTATAATTTTTTTTTTAACGCTGAACTGTACACGTTTTTCCGCGCGGTCAATTTCTCGTGTTTTCCCATACGGCCGGACGCATATTTCGCAGTTCTTATTACCAGGATTGAAATAATTTGTTGATCGCCTACGGATTTTCGTTCATTTATTTTTTGTACACCATCATAATTTATATAGTACAAATAACAGTAACACGATTACCTTCGTCTATTTTAAGAGCTATGCTCGCGTTAGACGTAAAGAGCAATACATTATCTTGTTGCGATCTACATGTTGATTAAAATTAAAATAAAATATGTACAAGTATGTCGTATAGAAAATATTTACGGGAGTATTACATTTGAAGCATGGAAATCGTTAAGTATATCAATTTATTTTAATAATTATCGGATGACTTGAAACTCGTCTAATCAACGACGGAATAAAATCAATCAAAATCGATGTGTACGAAATATGAATTAATTTAATTTATAATCTATGCATTGATAGGAATTATTTTTGTTTAGATATATATCTACCGAGATGCTTAATACTCAAGTTATTCGGGCTTTATAATTTTTGAAAATTTTAAGAAGGTAGGTAAAGTCAATTTAACTATTGAAATCGTTTGAAGTTGTGTTGGGCATAATCGAGATTTATAATTGAGATATCTCGTTTATGAAAACAATTCAGATAATGATAAAAATAATTGAGTGATCAAATAATTTCGATTGTGAGTAAAGTAATCAAATAATTGAATAATTTTGATTACGAGTAAAATAATCGAGTAATTTTGGTATAACTAAAATAATCGAATTGTTCTGTTGTTCTCTAAATCTCCAAATAGTATAAATGTTTTAAATTATCAATAGTCGGTAGTAGTAGAATTAATATATTTTAAATCTGAAAAATAATACATACAATATGCTTAACACACTACAATTTCCAATAAAGTTTATATTTAATAAAGCGTAAACTGGTTAAACGACAGGGTCGTTATGAAATATGAACTATAATTATTGTTCATATAGGCGTGCGCAGACCTCTTTTTCAGGGTATGCAAAAGGCTGCTACTGCCTACCCCCCACCCCAAACTGAAAGTTAATTTAAGCGTTCGAAATTCTGGTCTTAATAACTATTTAATTTAAAATTTTAATTTTTTTTCCTGAAAAAAGTGACTGAATAACCAATTCTTAATCGTTATAACTGTCTTCATAATTAAAATTTAAAATAAATTACCAAAAAAAAAAAATTAAATACATAACACTTGAAATGGTTTGAGTAATACGTTCAAATAGGGTAAATAAATAAAAACATAATTATATACTTAAATGAAAAACAAAATAAATTTGATAAATAATCAAAATTAATCATAAAACGATTCTACGTACAGTTGAGTTCTTAATATCACTAATAATGTTTTCGGGATTTTAATTTATAGCTATTTCTTGTTCTGTAGTTGATAGCTATTTAATCTCGCTTGAATTATTGTACTTCTTAATTTCATTAACACATTAAATCGTTATAACCTATGATTTGTTTTTCAAAAATAAATTAAACTGTCTGGGACTAAATATAAAAATATAATAAAAATCATAATGTAATACAAAATCACATAATATCAAAAAAATCACATAAGACCAGATATGTCATAATTTTTATTTATTTTTTGTAATTTTAGAAAGAAGGCTCTATGTTTAGGGTATGCAATTGCATATCCCCTGCGCACGCCTATGATTGTTCAATAGTTAAATGTTATTTGCCGATATGGAGGACATTTAATTAATTGTATTTGAAACTTTACCTAAATGCACAGCCAAATTTTAATTGGTTTTAAAGCTACAAACGTTTGTCAAATATTTTTTGTTTTATTTTAAATTTGTGAAATGGTATAATAAGTACATTTTATTCATAACTAAGAATTTAGAATATTTCAGACCATTATATTACTTTAAATTGAAGACGATAATTACTAAAAAAAAAAAATTAAAATTCTTATCTATTTTTTAAAACATTTATAAATAATGCTGTACCTATTAATATTTGGTTATTATTCCTAAAATATAATTTAATACTTAATAATATTACATAAAAAAAATAAAAACAGCAATATAGTAAAAATATTGGATTATTTTTATCAAAAGAATAAATGATTTTAATTTCGAGTGATTTTTCGAAAATTTCTCGATTTCTAATCATTCGATTAACAAAATCATTCGATTTTGCACATCACTGTTTTAAGTATGGTATAAATATCGTTAGTAATTCTAATGTAATAATGTAACTTTTACTCACTCATGTCTGTGGTCTACACCTACCCATAATACTAGGCCGACGTGCCAAGGAATGTTATCTTTATTTAAATTTGTTTATTTTTATGATTTCAATAAAAAAATTGCTTGTGTTCATTACTAATGCGATTTACATATTTTAAAATTAACATTTAATAAATAGGTACAAAATAACTACGTTTAAACTATAATTTATTGCTTTGTACTTCGCTCTATTTATCTGTCACACATTTAATAGATTTATGTATCATTCATTAATTTTGTTTTTTCTTTATATCTTAGCAGAAGCGACTAAAAGTACAGATAGTTTTTGTGACAAAAAAAAAAAATAAAATAAAATAATTTGCAATTTGCATTAATCTTAAAAATTTAATTTTAATATTCCAACTTTAGCACTTCCCAGGAATTAATCAAATTTACCTTAAAGTGAAAATTGTATGTAGACACTACACAACACACTACAAATCTGTAGTTATAAGTTTCAAATTAAATTATTAAATTAAACTGAAACGGTTTAAATAACATTTAATTCATTAAAAAAAATATATCATGAATTATTCTTGTAAAACATAAACCAGATTATAAAGGTGTAAAAATAATAATAATTTAATAACTAACTTTAATTGAAAAATACCATCTAATTAAAATGTTTTATTATATTTGTATTATTAAAATACATTTGTGCTGTTTATGAATTAAACCAGTATATATTATTTAAATAAAGTGTTGTACAATAATTTCACTTTTTAATAGTATTTGCTTTAGATTGAGCTGAGTAAATAATGAAACTAACCGGATATTGTATAAGGTTATGGTTGACATTTGATATGTATGGCAGCGTCCCAGCTGGCGTGAGGTTTTGACTTCTAAATTATAACAAAAATGAATGTATTAAAAACTACAGAATTATAATCCCCAGGCGCCATTCGGAATGTGGGGACACATCAATTGGCTGTAAAGTTTATGTAGGTACACTTTTTATCCTTCAAAATATATTATTATTAGTAGATATAAGCAAATTAATTTAAATCCAGTTTTTGGCTCGAAAAAAAAACCATTATTGTATAGTGATTTGTAGTCAGTTGTGGTGTATTATGAAATTATGACAACCGGTAACTGTTTCCTTAAGGATATTTCAAAAACTATAATAAAGCCGGGTTCACACTACACCGTGCCGTGCCGTGTCTTCTAAAATAATTATATCTGCTTGGTTGAACTATATTGTTATATTAAGGTATACCGTATAATAAACCACAAGTTACCTCACTAACCATAAGATACCGTGAAGTTGATTTTATCCAACTTTTGAACGTGTGGTTACCGATTTTAATAGTAATAATTTAATAATATATGATAACAAAGGGCTCAGAAAGTGTTGCATTTGCATGATTTTATTGGGCTATTCAATTTATTGCTAAGTAACCTTGAAATTATTTTCATGACACTTTGAAAAACCTAATGAGAACATTTTGAAAGAAAATTTCAAATTTCAAGTTATTTATTTTACTTATATTTTATTTTATCTTATATATTTATACCTAGAAATTATGTTTAGCTAAGTATAATATACTAACATATTTAGTACTTTTTAAGTGCATTAAGTTCCGAGCCCTAATAATAATATACTTATAATATAATATAATACTATAATAATATATACTTTCTACTACCTATATAATTTAATGTTCATCAGTTATTATTTATTGAAACTTATGAAAATATTTCATATTTAATAAAAAAACTGATAAAATATGTAATCAAAATTTGATAGTATCGCCATAAGATATATATAATATATATATTATACCAATAATTGGTATCACATATTTTCAAAGCACAGGGTCTGGTAAAATATACGTCACGGTGTAGTGTAAACCCGGCTTAACCGTTAATTGTTTAAGAGCCGATGGTAAGGTTTTTTACTATCGGTTACCGGTTAAAACCGGTTTTTAAAAATCATATTTTTCAATTTTTTAATCATATTTTTAAAACAGTTTATTTAGGCGATTCGTGGGTTGATAATATAATTTTTATTATTACAAAATCAAAAACCTAATATGTTTTAATTTGGTCGATTTCACTTAATTTCAATATTTATTTTTTCAAACTGCTTTAAAGTTTAAAACGAATTATGATCAAGATAATGATAATCAAAAAACTAAATTACATAAAAAAATGTATTGTTATAATTTTCTTATTTATGACGGTAAAAAACTGAAATTAAATATAATAATTTTCTAAGATGATACTAAGATTGATACATTGTATATATATTCATATATGATATTCACAACAGATATACAATATTCGACGGTCATTAATTGGGAAAAATATTTAAAAATAGCTGGAAAATTAAATTAACTTATAATAGTATAATGTAATCATGACATAATTCAAGTATTAATACCATGAAAAAACCGTTAATTATTTTGGTTGGGAATAGGTTTTGGTTATAAAACC